GATATAAATCCTAAATTTTGTTTATGTACCTGTGATCTGGATTCAAGTTTTAATAGTAATCATTTTGATTTTGCAATTTTCTTAATATTTCAAAATACAACCATCATAAGTATCAATTTATTATTATTACTTTTTAGTAATCTTGAACAATATTGGGCTTCATTAATGTTATATTGTTCAATTCCTTAAATACTTGTCAGAAAAATTAATTTGAAAGTTGTTATTATTCTGTTTGATCAGTTTTAAGATATAGAAACTCAATTCACTAGTTTAGGAGCAAAAGCATTTAAAAAGTTCTCTCTGGAGCTCTATAATTCTGAAGTTAATATTGCAAATAAAAAACTTATTTTTCTAATTCAAATAAATATTTGCAATTAAATTATATTTTTGAAAACTAACAAAAATGTTCAAAAATCATAAATTTTGAAATTAGTAATTAAATAACACACTATAAATGATATATCAACATGACATTTAACTACTAGAATGATTTAATAGTCCACTAAATCTGTAATACAAATAAGACATTTATATATAATAAAAATTACGATAATGCAATACTATATAATAAATTATCATTATATAAGAGGAAATCATTAAAATTGACTTCCTCTCCAATATCCGTTGTAGGCATAGTCAACTAAGACAAAATCTAGGTCACAAATTATTGTGCAATGTAACTTGATTATAAAACAAATCTTATGTTTTTTAGCAATATTATACAATACCTGGTATATTTAAAACTGAATTTTAAGTGTAAGTATTAATAACACCTTTCAGGGAAAAATTTTAAAACTGAAATAATGTGACTTCTAGAGCAAATTGGAAGTTTGTATAAAGTTAATCGGAGCCTCCTGCTACTAAGCTTTCCATATCTAGTCTCAACTTTCATCTATCTAATTCCATTCTTGAGATTAAGGAAGGACAGACAGACAAACAACAGTGGGAATTTATAGGTCTACAATTTTTTCTAATTGCAGCTCAATAAATGAATGTGATTCTGGCATACAGGATCAGCATACTACACATTATGTAATGTAAAACAACTTGACATAATTGACATTAATTTTTGATTGATATAAATCACCAATCAGCAACAGGGTCAGCATAGGTGAACAATAAATGTTGTCCTCATCCAAACTATCTGTTAAAATATTAAAAAATTAGACAGGATTTCAGTGGCGTGACGTGACATTTGATGATAGGGAAGCTGTGTTTCTGTAAGAAGCTGACACCCAGGGGCAATCAGTCAATTGCGCATCAGTGATGGTCTAGTCCATTCGTATTGTTTATTCGATAAGCCAGTAAAAACCATAGACTTCTCTAAACGCATTTTTAATATCACAATTACATTCCGAATCGCTAGCCACAATATAAGGGCTACAATTAAAAATAAAATAATAAAAACTTACTCAGTGAAATAAAATGTGGTAGATGTACCAGTACATATCTGGTACAAAATATTCTTCAATTGTATGAATACACTTTTAAGGAAAATTATAATTAAATATAGCTTTGTAAAGAAACGTACATAAAAATATAAAATATTCTTTACTTTTTAAATCTTAACACAATGCACTTAGTCAAATAGCTCCCTACGAATGGATGGAATCGAAGACGGTTGCAGAGTGTGCATACACGCGGACTGCCAAATCCCCAGGGGGCCGATACTGGTCAAATACCTCTTTTGTCGCATTGCTAGTATATCTCAAAGGATGCAACAGGGCTGTTGTAGATTTTAAACGTTTCTCACCATAGCTGTAAAAATCTAAATATGTTAAACTTAATAGTCATTTGTTTTCTAATTCTAAACTAATTCGTTTTAGGACCAAGTGTCCTCAGAAATTTCCAAAATTTACAACTTTTCGGTTACACTCATTGAACTGGAAAAATTTCTGTCTTTATTACATTAATAATACAGTACGAAGAAATCAGTCTCCACTGTACTCGGCTATAGATTAGTTCGGTTAAGCTTTTGTTTAACTAAAATTTTGGCTCTTTCATCAGGTTTTTGTTTATGTCCCCAATTCCCTAATCGCTTAATTGTTTAACTACTTCTTAAGTAGAAATAAGTCGAAAACCAGTTACTTTGTACTCAAATATTTGTAGTCTTGGGAAAAAAGTGGAAAGACAAATTTTTATGACAACGGATACATAAATCATAAATTTAAGGAAAATAAATTCTAGAGCTTTTTCTGTATCTTATGCATTAAATTCTCTCTCATTCATAAAATTTAGTTGTAAATGATGCTGTCAAAGTAACAGTTAATTTTTTTAACATTATACAAGAATTGTACACGTTTTTTCTGCATCCCCTTAGAGATGAGACATACAAAATCACTGGTTTAACATTGAAATCCGTGAGTAATATAAAATTGGAGAGCGGAATAAATATATCAAATATTTTAAAGGATTTTTTTAACTCCTGTCAACTATACAGAACTATCATAAAAACATACCAGTAAATTCTTATCAGTCAGGTTAAGTTATAAATCTACTCATGATTCATGTAATTGGGCGAGGGCGGCCAAATATCTAGCGGGAAGGCAGCTAACAGCCCAGAACCGGTCCTGGATAGAATTGGATGTGATATACATGTAGCATCCACCAGCTAAACCAGGTGAGGTTGGTGCTCTGTAAAACGCATGCGCAAATCTGGCTTTTTGGATGCTGACGACACAGCGTTTCCACTCCGCAACTAATAATCAAATATACAATAACAATCTTATTGTTTTTTTCACGTGTAGTATAGAAATTTGTAATAAGATAGATAATGCGGTTATAATAAAATATTGTGCAATTATTTTCATATAATTAAAATTAATATGTATTTATTTTTTTTAGAAAATATAAGGGAAGCAGCGCATCCACCACTTCCAATGATGGCACGCCACTGCAGGATTTGAATCTGGATCCATCAAATTGGTAGTGGATGCGAGTATCTGATACCTTGCAGTGAAGCAGCCTACCACTTAAGTTAGAGTGATAGAACCTCTCTCGTTTCGTTGGGTATCAGACAAGTTGAATCATATGAGAGTCATGGTTACATAGAATCAAGACAAGAGTCTTGATTCTATGTAACATGAATATAAAACTTATATTCATTGGGAAGAACATAAATTATTCTTACTATTGATATTCAAAATCATCCAGCAGTGCAATCAATAAGTTTATCTACTTCATAGACAACAGTCTGTTCTATTAACATCAGTTGCTGTTGAACCTCAGTGGCCCCATGGCCTTTTGATGATTACAAACTTCCTTAATTAAGGATGATTGCTCTAAAAAGGAAGCCCTGTAGACTGTACTCTATGATAATCTCCAGATGGCATGGTATTGGTGATGAGTCTATGATGCTATGCAACTGAACCTTTGGTGTAAAAAAGGTAACTTTGGAGAGAAGAACTGTTTCTTTTTGATGGAAAAAGACCTTAAATTTCTTCAGGAAAAAAGAATTGCAGTAAAATACTTGATCTTTTGGTGAAAAGATGGTGTGTCCTTGGGATAAAGGTTTTTAAAGGTACAATATTCCTATTCTGACTGGACACGATCCATTTCTTTTCTTCTGGTTGGTCCCCATCTTCTTGCTAGGGATCAAAATCCCAGAACAAGAGCTCATAATTCAAAAGGGGAAAGTGTTTTTCCCTCCATTTACAAGAGGATGTCACTGACTAAAAGATCAGTTCTACTAGATGCTTTATCAATCAGGTGTTTGAATGTTGAAGGTTCATTGAATAACACAAAGCTCAGGATGAAAAAATTCATACAATACATATGGGAATGACAAATGCAGTTTTCTTCCAGTCTTGTTCATCCACTTACTACTTGTCAATGACAGTAATATAGATCAGCAATTTCACAAATTTCAGCAATTTGGTCACACTCAAAGCAGATGGGAACATTGGCAGTGATTTACCAAATGTTGGTGAATCTCAGCTCAGTTTGTTGATACATTGGCAGAGCCAACATGTCTTGATCTTGGTATGATTTTGGTTCTACTGATGGTATCAGACATTTTCAATTTGGAGAGAAGTCAAGATAAAGATTGTGGAAGTCTTAAGTTCAGTGGCCAGCAAGACATCAAACAGGTCTTTGGCAATGCTTATCATCAGGTGTTCCAGCTTCTTGATGTGTGTTGATTTCTTGGCACAGAGCAAGGGCATCCCAGATGTAGGATTCATTGTCTTCCCTTGTTGGGCTTGACTCTCTAGAAGCAACTTGGTGTTCCTAACTGACACTTAGACATGTCTGAAGGTTCGTCAGAAGGTATTTTGAAGGATTTCCAGTCAACGATTTGGCTTGTTTGTGTAGCAGTACCTGACAATGCTTACAAGAAAGAAATAGATACTGTTACGCTTGATTTTGTCATTCTTTGTTACAGCAAGTGACTCACTCAGTCTTCAATCCAGTGTCCTCATTCCTCAAGCCATGATAAATCCAAGGATCTCTGCAGGCCTGTGGGATGTAGACTGTAGGTCAAATAGTCAATGGCTACAAATTAGTTGATGTACTGTACATATCTTATGATGGGTTTCTGGAATAGTTTCAACCTCTTTCAGATTGGGGATGTTAGGTTCTGAATTTCTCCTGTCTTCTACTTGGTCAAATTTTGTCAAGGTATATGGTATTTACCTGGTACTGCTACCAAACTTTTGGTACAGAAAAGTAATGAGAAAAAGTTTATAAGTATATACTTCATTTACAGGATGAAGAAAGAAAAAAAATAGAATAAAGAAAAAAATCACTTAGGAATAGCCAGTTCAGTCTGATGCAGAAAGTTTTGAAAATCAAATTTTGTCACCAGTATATTCACCATTCAAATATTTTAAAAGTGATGCTGTGGTCTTACCTGATTTTGTGGTTTTACTTTGTGTATAAATTGAAGACACACTAAAATCATTTTGCATACATGCAAAGAATTTGGTAACAATAAAAAAAAGTGTGATTTTATACAAGACAAAACTAATTCAGTTTTAATTATGAATTTATTAATACATATATTCAAGAAAAATTAATTACATTCCTAGTTTAGGTAACAAACTACCATTAAATTCTAGTCAAAAATTATATTAAAATATATGAAAAACTTATAAAAAAAATAGTGAAAACATTTCTAACTGAATCATGAAAATTTAGAGATTGTACAATATTTACAGTCTATAGTTTAAATTATAAATCATCATCATCCTCTTCTTGTTGAATTTGTTCTATTTGAGATGGTGGTTTTCCTTGAATTGGCCTTCTGAACAATAAAATATGAGGTTCTGAAAAATTTAATATAAAATTTAGCATTCCTCACTATTTAATACATCCAACTACAGTAGAAAATTAAAAACATAATTCTAAAAGAATATTGCAATAAAATTTTTATACTTAATAAAATATTTTAGCCTCTCTTTGAGATAAATATCATAAATGCATTTATTTTAAATGTGAAAAAAATCAATTAACACTTTTGTTGCCAATTAACATGCAATTCTGCAGCATTTTAAATCACATGATGCAAAATTGCATCAACTAGTAACAGGCAACAAATGTGTTAAAGTAAGCGGAAAAAAAAATTTACGTGAATACGTATAATTTATAAAAAAAATTGTATTACAAAACTATTATATTAAATGTTTTGGTGTACAGTGGTACCTTATACTTCGAATGATGCTTCAAAGTTCGAACTGCACAAACAGTGAAAAAAACACTTGAAGCATAGAATAAACTTCTGAACCAAGAATACAATTTCAAATTAGCAATAATGCATTAAAGCACACATTTACATTAAGTAATGACAGCTGTTAAAAATATGCAAGAAACTTTTTGTTCAATCCAACACCAATCAGTTCAGTGGAGTTTTTAATAGTGAATGTATAATAATTTAAATGTTCTGATGACAGGTTGTGTAACATTTTCTAACCATTGCGTAGATGATTTTGCTTTATCTACAATGGGCTTATGGGAAGTTGTTGGTTTCTGTGTTTTTGTAAAGGCCATGTCCAACTTTAACTTCTTGACAGGGGTTGTGTGTGTGTGTGTGTGTGTGTGTGTGTGTGAAACATGTACACAGGCTTGTAACATGTCCATGTAGCCATCATCTACAGGTTCACATTTTATTGATTAATTATGGCATCTGAAAAATGCGTGGAAACAATGAAGTCTAACTAATAAGATGATGGTTGTAATACCAATGATAGAAATGAAAAATGAACTACGTGTGAAGCATGAAAGTAGCACATGTGTGATGGATCTGATGGCCATGTTTAAAATGCTGAAACCAATACTGTGTGACTAGTAAATGCAATTTTCATTTTATTATACAGTATTTATATATTCTATTGTTTGTGTTTTAATTTATTATTAGGGAATTTAATTATTTTATTTTTACTTTAAATTATGTGCATTTGCTGTTTTAATTAAGTATATTAAAATGGATATTGTTTAGGGTCTGGGAATGGATTAATTGACTTTCCATTATTTCTAATGAAACATTTAATTCGGAATTCGAATAATTCGGAGTTCAAACGGTCATCTGAAATGAATTAAATTCAAAATACAAAGCACCACTGTATATACAAATTAATAACAACCTATTATAAAATATAACAAAAATTATGTACCTGGTTCATGAATCATGTAATGGATCCATCCAAGACTTTGCTGAACACCCAACTTTCTCCACTCTTCTTCTGACATGAGATGAGTTTTTGGTACTAATTGGGCCAATTCTTTTGGCAACATCACATGTCTAAAAATAAATTTTAATAGCTTAAAAATTACATTATATGTAAATATAACAAAAGAATAAAAACTTTGGTAAAAACATCTTAAAAACTCAAATTTTTCTTAGTTTCAATAAATTATTATTTTAGATGCTTATTTTTGTCCATACATGGGTCCATAAATTTGGATTTAAAATGCAATCGACTTTTTGTTTTACATAAATCACACTTTTTTCTAATGAACAGAGTTAAAAATGTTTGTTCTGACTAAATCTGAATTGCTGGAATTTCATATAATATATTTTTTCACTGCTATTAAAATTTATAACTAAGTATTCACAACAAAACCTTGATAATCCCAGTATATAATTTAATGTAAACTTGATAAAAGCTTTTGATCTTACAACAAAATCAACTTCATTCAAATCATAAGTCAACAACATTCTAAATTGGAATGTACAGAAGAAATTTCAAATTTTCAGAGTAAAACATAAATTGAATAAATAAGAATCAGGTTGCCATTCTATAGTTAACATGTACAGTATAATACACAATTAAAACAAGTACAAATATAAGAAATAACTACATATAAATATACCACAAAAATATTATGAACTAATGCATGTTGGTACTGCTTGGTTTTTCATAAAAACATTGCAAAGCTTATGAGATGCTTTTCTCATCTTTAAAATTAATGTAATTGCCCATCATGCCAGCTTCTAACTTGTAAGATCCCTGATGTCAGTTTGCCAGGGTTGTTTGATTAGTGTGGAATTTTGAAGACTGTCTTGCACATTTGTATCTGTGGTGTAAATGGGCAAGGAGATGGTTTATTTTTTTGTTCAAGTGCTCCATATGCAAAAACTTACAAGAACATTGTTACCTATACATAATAATGTTCTTGTAAGCTTTTGCATATTGAGCACTTGGTGAACCAAATGTACACCAGATCTTTTTGGAACCTGTTGTCCCTCACTGAAACGTTGTATATACACGGAGCTCTATATTTGTCGTCCTTATCTTTTATGTTGCGTAGCAGCTTATATAACATGGCAACTCACTTTTAGGCTAAGTTGATACCTGTCAGCTATTTCCCTGCACAATGTATGCAAATTATAGTCATTATAGTCCATCACAGTGTGCCTAGGGTTAGGGATGCATATTTGGAGCCTCCTTGGTTGTTAGTGTTGGACACAGGATGTGTTGGTTGGAGTAGGTGCAAGTCAAATCACAAATCAAGTTTTTTTTTGGGGGGGTCAAAAATAAAGCAAATCATGAGTCACAGCAGTGACTCTCTGCCAAGTAAAAAAGTCACTGACTATATATACAGGAATCAGAGTTGCTGATTTTCAGGGGGCCAATTTCTCCATCCCCAAAGACCTGAAGTAATTTCAAATATATCATTTGAAAGAAAATTGTTTTCTTAGGTAGTGTGCAAAATTTCAAGATTTTCTATAAAGTGGTTGCCGAAATATAAGCAATTGAAAAGTGCAAAGATCACTGAAAAAACTGTATTTTCTTTTTCATCTGGCACTGCAGATGTTCTTAGAGAAATACTACTGGGTCTAGAAAGCACAGATTTTAAACTTAATCCTTTCTCATTATCAGTGAAATGTTGCAAAACTTCTGGGTCAATAAGTCAGAGTTCATAGGGTTTCTCATAGAGCTAATTCAGTTTTATAAATTAATTTTATTCAAAATGTTATTCAGAATAACAAAGGCTAAAATATATGCCAATTAAAACTTTTTATAAGGATTTTTCTAAACAGTGTATCAAAACAGTCAGTCAGCACCAACCGAAATGAATATTGAAAGCATTTGGTTGGCAGTTGCTGAGTGCTGACCAAATAGTATGTCATTGTATTATGTCTTGACATAATAATACAATTATTAGACTAAAAGCAATTAATATCCAAACAAGAACATCTGAGACATAAAAATTTTTGCCAAATTCATGACAATTTAGACAATAGTTAAATTATTTTTAGGTATTTTCCTTTGGTAAAGATAAGTTTGGTGCTTGGAAGTGGTATCCACAAGATTTTACCTGTATTATTCTTTTCTACATTTAGCTTCCAAGTGTCAAGTTTATTCTTACCAAAGGAAAACTTGTAAAAAAATTTTGACTGTAGTCTAATTTTCATAAGTTTTTTTACTTGGCAAAATGTTTTATATCTCAGTTATTTTTCTTTGGCTAAACAAATCTTCCATATATAGACATTTTAAATTGGGTACACTGAAATATATAGTTACAGGTAACACAAAGAAAAGCTGAATGCAAGAAGACAACATGCCATACATGTAGTGAACAAAAAAGTGTGATTTATGACCAAAAAAATATAAAGTGTGTCAACACTATAGTATGCCATCTAATACAAAATATGTCCCAGCACACAGAGATCACATTTTTACTTTCGTTCACATTTTTCTATACTCATGCCTTTTAGCTATGACCTCTAAATGCTTTAGTTCTTTTAAAGTATCTGTCATGTTTGTATGGTACATAAAAACCTTTTTTAAATGCATGGAAGGCAGCAATTTTATAGGAAAAAAGGGTCAGATGAGTTTGCTGCAATAAATAATGGTAAATATATGGGTTTGTAATAGATGTTCATTTCTATGTGACTCTTGCTGAAATTAATATCATTTCTTAGAAGTGTGCACTTTTATCACTAATCTGATCTAGCTGAAGGGACAATCCATATGGGTTATGGGTTCACGAGTTGCAAAAAACGCATCTAAATCCAGCTTTGTTTTCTGTAGTAAAGGATCCATAAAAGGACAAAGGCACAGTTTTTACTGAAGGGTATAAGGAAAAAAAAAAAAATTAAATCCTACCACATGTGCTATTTGTCAATTTGACCTGCTGTAAGATATCTATCAGTTCAGTGAAATTTTTGATAGTGAATATATAATAATTTAAATGTTTTGATGACAGGTTGTGTAACATATTTTCTAACCATTGTGTAGATGATCTTGCTTTATCTACAATGGGCTTATGAGAAGTTGTTGATTTCTGTGTTTTTGCAAAGTTGCACCTAAACTCATTATTTTGTGCTTGTTCACAGAACTTATTCTGACGAAGGCTTTCCATTAATAATACTCTGTCTTTCTTTCCTAAAAAGAATCTTTTGTTAATAGACATGACACACTCTGGATGAGGCTTGGTAGAACCAGGAGCATACCACAAGTACTTGGCTATAGTTATCAATCCAGTTACATGAAGTTATTTTGTATTAAAATTTACACATTCAAATTATATAAATGTCTTAAAATTCTTCGAACGGAAACATAGAAATTTCCATTTTAAAATAAATATATATTCAAACAGTTAAAAATTAAGACAAGCTCTAAATTTGAGATGCTAATTCTTTAAGTAATTCTCAAAACATTTTGAGGCCACAGAACACTATTTATATACTTTTCATTACACAAAACATTAACACCAGTATATTAGGACAAGGGAGCAGAGACCCAAGTTAAGAGTAGTATGGGTACTACAGAAGGTTCTTTGTTAATGTTGGTTTGCATCAGAGATCGGCCCTTAGCCCTTATTTGTTTGACCTGATAATGGACGTGTTGGTGTATGACACGAAATGTGAGGCTCCGTGGAGTATGCTGTTTGTGGATGATATTGTGTTGTGTGAACTTTCCCAAACTAAGGCTGAGAAGAAACTGGAAAATTGGAGGAAAGTTTTGGAAGAAAGGGGCATGAAGATTAGCAGAACTAAAACAGCCTATATGACTCTGAATGGTAAAGACGAGTGTAATATTAAAATCCAAAATGTGCCGCTTCCTTTTGTTCAGAGTTTAAATATCTTGGGACATTTGTTGAGATGGGAGGAGAATTGAACTCTGAGGTGCAACATAGAATTCAATGTGGATGGATGAACTGGAGGAAGCTGAGTGGTGTGTTATGCAACAAGAAAGTTAGCTGCAATTGAAAGGAAAATTGTATATATCAGTTGTTAGACCTGCAATGTTATATGGAACTGAGACATGGGCAATAACAAGATCCCAAGAAAGATGGAGATAGCAGAGATGGGAATGTTGAGGTGAATGTGCAGAGTGTCAAGGAAGGATAGCATAAGGAATGATTTTATTAGAGGTTCTGTTAAGGTGGGCTCCTTAAGCAAAAAGATGCAAGAATGTACATTGAGGTGGTTTGACCAGGTAGAGCGAAGAAGTGACAATTATGTTGGAAAGAAGATTGGAAAACTGGTAGCAAAAAGGAAAGAGGAAAAGAGGAAGACCAAAGATGCATTGGAAAGATAAGGTGGAAAAAGACTTGAACCAGAGGGGACTTAAGAGAGAAGACGCCCTTGATAGAGAGAAATGGAAAAAACATATTAGAGAAGGAAATGCCGACCCCATATAAACATGGGAAAAGGCAAAGATAAAGAAAGAAAGAAATTTAAAAAATCCTTAAGCAATTCCGCATTTACCATTCTCATGAATAAACTAATAAACTTTACTGTATTGAATAAAATAGTAAACATGGAATTATCTACAAATAAAGTAATATGTCGTAGTACATTAGATTAATTTGCAATAAAATCTTTTTCACAAAACATTCGAGGCAAGTTTGCAGAGCATCTGTATTACATAGCCACGGGTTGAAAACCACAGCGGAGATAAGGTAAAACAAAGGATAAACTGAAGTATATAGCAGCTTACTCTTCAGGTCTTTACATCTTTGTAGCATGGCTGAGGAGTCAGTAAAAAAACACTCGACTCCGACTCCTGATAATTTTAGTAGGCCAACTCCAGCAAAATTAAATACCAAGCCATTTTATGGGGGGGGGGCATAACGCTCATAGGGGTATCCTACTCTGAACACAGCCTGGGGCATTTACCCAAATACTTTTATACTTAGTATTTTTAATATTTAACTTACATTAATATTTATTTGTATAAAAAATTAATTTTTAACAAATACTTAATAAGAGGAGAAAGGGGACGATAAAATTCTACATCTACATATATTCGACAGCATTTGCACTTCAATTTCACCCTTCCAGAAGTTAGTCCAACTAAAAACTGTGCTATCTAGCTATCTACTTCAGCCCCTTGTTCAGAAAAGAAAAATATGTACTCTGATCAATTAATCTGACTCATTCAGAAAAATAGAGTACTTATTTATAGTGAGGATAATAAAGGAATGATTCAAATTTATTCAAATCCAATTGAGTCAAAATAATTTCACTACTAAACAATAACTACATATTTAATAAATTAAATTGATGCATTTTGTATTTAAAATAAATGAATTATAACAAAATACAAAAAGATTTTTAAAAATTAATAAATATATAATAAATTTTCTTTCATTTAAATAAGAAAAAACTAAAGTAAATTTAAAATGCGGGGAGTTTACACATTTTTTCCAATTCCACAGCCCTACTTTGTAGTGTTGTTCATGATTAGATTAGCAAGTTTATTGATTAATTTTACTATAATTATCTCAGGTATTTATGTAAAAAATGAAATGTAAAAATGAAAAGGAAGACAGCTAAATAGATTATGTTGGCATATAACCAGATAAATTATTTATTTTTACTTCTGTTTGTATTAAAATTTGAGAAAATTGCTGTCTCCAGCCATTTTAAAAACACGTGAATACAGTTAATACATCATATATTTAAAATTACAATTAAAAATACATACCTATATTCATATTTATCATCGTAATATTTATCGGAATAATAAATATTTTTGTTGGACATTTTTATAAATTAAAACGAAAACGAAATCCTCACACAAATAGAATAATCCTCACGTGTTACAGTTTGAATATCCCCCCTCTATGACGTCAATTGTATTAAAGAATTTTTCCGATCATATTAAAATTTTATTAAACACAAAATTAAAGTATATAAAAATATATAAATTTTAATTTATAAAATTAATTTATATTAAATATTTATCGTTAATAATTATTTTAAAAGGTTAATGACCATGACGTCATCGGGAAAGTTGCACGCGCCGGAACATACCATTTTTCGATCGGGAGGGAAACAGGCAGAAAGAAGTAAACTGTTGGAATTTTCGTTTGAAAGATTTTTGTAATAAATTTGTTTTTACGTTTAAGATAATATACGAGTGAAATTTTAATCTCTGATATCGATTTTTAAAGTATAATATATTATTTAACCAAAGAAATACTTTAGAAGTTTTCTACTGTAGTTAATGCCTAAGGCAAGGCTTAGGTTTTGAAGGGAGAAAGGTAAGCTTTAAAATGCTTTAATAAAATAAAACATTTAAAAATAAACTATTTGAAATTAATTCTGAGATAATTGAGAAAATAATTTCATTTACACCTAGTCAATGTATAATATATTTTATTAAGCTTATTGTTTTAATAATGGCAATATAATGGTGTTTTTTTGTAAATTTTTCAATTTATTTTTAAGTTAAAATATGTTTAAGGAGAAATTGATTTAATTTTTAAATTAATCACGTGTAATTTTTAAAAAAATCATCAATTTCAGATAAACTTGTCAATTTCAATTGAAATTTTTTTTTTTTGCTTACTAAAAATTTGTAAACAGTCAACAAATTGATTTTTTTTTTTTTAATATTTTGTAATGAAATTTTTTTTTGAATAAAAATTAATCAGTTTTATAGACTTTTATATTTGATTAAAATGTGAAAATTTGTTATATTTAAATATTTTCTATGTATTACAAGACATTAATAAGACAATATTTGTTGAAAACATCTTATTTAGTTATCCAGATTATTTTTGAGTAATATAATTATTGTCTTTACTTTCATACTTTGTACACTTAATTAATATGTTATTTTGGTTAGTGTCATAAATTTAAAGTAGATTTTGCAGCTTAAATAAACATAAAAGTAAACCTTTTAATCTACTGATATGTTCTAAAACATATTTGCTAACAAAATAAAACATCAAAACTTGTTGATTTTTCATTGTAAACTTGAAAAGGTATTGATTGTAAGATTGAATCAAACAAGTGGTTTTACTAATGTTAATTAATAGTATTAGCACTTTCATTTAAAAATGTATATAAAGTGCTGGTAAGTATTTTAGAAGTGTTTTGTAAGATAGTATAAATATTCTTTTGCTTATTTCAATATAAATTTTATATTTATTATATTTTTGTAGAATAATTATAATTATTTCAGTTTACTGTTTGTACACGTATAGTACACATATACTGTATATGCTATTAATGCAAGTTAAAATCACTTGTTTGATTTAATGTCATAAAGAATATCTTTTACATGTTTACTATGAAAATAACTAAGTTTTGATTTTTCCAAAACTTCCTTATTTTGTCAATTATGTTATCTTAAATCTTTATCAGTATCAACTGTACTTACTATCTTTTCCCTATCTTTTGTTTTTGAATAGTTGTGTAAATAAAGGGTATTACAAATATTATTTTTACACTCAGCTTTTTAACTTTTTAGACTTTCCTAGTCTTTTAAACTTAAAGTAAGTTAGACTCAAAAGTAAACTATTTGCAATGCAAACTCTTCTAGTAGATTAATAAAAAGTAATAAAGATTTGAAATATTGCAATTTTTAGAAAATACTTAAATATTTGTTGTATATTTCAGAAAATACTAAAATATAATTATGTTCAGTTATTTTATTTTGATAGAAAAAATATGGTCAATGTATATTATAGATTTAATTTTTAATTGTTTGAAAAAATATAATAAAGTTAAATAGTCTTTATAACTGAGTTTAAAAAATTATTAATTAGATTTTTCTCAAGGTCTATAATTTGAAAGGTTTAAGCAGTAATGATAGGTTAGTCATTCATCAATTTATTTGACCTTATATCATCAATGAAACAAATATAAACAAGTCTATCAGTAGATTTAGTATTATTTCTTTATTTTAATGCGACAACTAATTAACTGAAAGTTTTGCAATATAATTTGCTGAGAATCTTGCTTAATCAGCATTCTGACAAGTTGACAATTTTGCTGCAAGAATCAGAAATCAATATATGCACTGTATCTAAAGAGTCTGACATTACTGTTCTAATGTACAATAATGTCAGTAATTAATTTATAAGTGTTGTCAGTTGATATTTTCAACTTAGTTTTGAAAAAGTTAACTGTCTTACTAATGTGGATTATTTTGTTACATGCATAAATTTGGAATTTCTTATAATTACGACATCATCAAGATTCATCTAGCTACTAATATGGATGTAATAATTAGTCATAGTTGTTTCTCAGTTAACATTGAATAATATGTATTTAATCTATAATTTAAAAATTTTTAAATTATATTATTGGAATTGGATTTTACAGGTTTTATATATTCATAGATTTAAAAAAAATGTTTTGATTGTGTTTCATTGATTTTAACAGTTATCTTTTGCTAAAATTTATTAATATCTTATTATAGTGTCACTTGTCTTTTAGTTTATTGTCTATTTTGCCATTTTTTATTTTTGTTTTTAATTTTTTTAATTTGTTTATCAGGTTGTTTGATATTTTCTTTTGTTTTTATTATTAAAATTTTTTAAATTCCATGTATTGTAAATGTCATATTTTTCTATTCTGATAGTATATTCTACACATTTATCATTCCTGTTTAAATTGATGTATTCTGTCTGAAATTTATAACTAAATCTGTTTTGTTATTGTTTTTTTCCTGATTATGAATAATGTAATGATAAAAGTATTTTTTTTTTTTACAATGCAAATATATTTATTTTAATCTTATATGAAGATTTGTAGTAAATTTTTATAAAAATGCATAAAAATAAAAAGAACATAATTATGAATTTTATAGATAACTGAAAACTTGTTTAAACATTGAATGGATATAATTTAAATGTAACTTTATATTTTATTTGGTAGTCACTGTATTATTATGTCAAATATTAAATTTTAATTTGCTTTGTGAGATCCAAATGCATTTTTGACATAGTATTACTGTGTTTTTTATACCATAAATTGACACTTGATATGTTGCCTCCATGAGGTCATAGTGGATTGTTTTTATAGTAGATTTGTAAACATCTCATCCTTTGACATGTAGGTAAGTTTTCAGAAACCTGTTTCTATTACTGTATTTTTATATTAGAAATATAAGCATTATAATGTTTTTATTTCTTGTGCTTTCCTTTATAAAATTATTTAAAATTAAAAATTTTTTAAAACAATAAATAAACAAAATTATGTAAATTTTTTATTATATTTGATTTAATAATTAAAAAATAAATTATTTTTCTATCAACTTTCATTGACAGTCAGAAGTCTGTGATGTCAGATTTGAATATTTTATAGTCAGGAAACTTTAGAATCCTGTCTTGTGTGTTTTCTATATATATTTGTGAAATTTATTTGTTAAAATATCAAGCTTGGATGCCAGTTTCATTATAAAAAATAGAAAATATTGCAAAAACTGAAATAATTATATTTTATGGGAATGAAATGCAAAATGCACTTATAATAGGATTACAGGGAGATTGCAAATAAGGAGCATATAGGAACACATGTATGATATAGCAAAACACAACTTTATTTTTAGAAGATAATCTTCTTTATCTTACAAACAAAAATACACGTACATTAATAATGTATCTAGGTTGACTACATGTACTGTTTAGAATGTGACAATATGGTGTTTTTTACTCTAACCCAGCCATCCCCTCATTTTAGTAAAATTTTCAGTTTGTCTCATTTTTGAAAATCAAAAACCTTAGCTCTCTAAGAGGAAGTAAAGATATACTGAGTGTAGCATTAACAGTTTTCCAGTATCGTTTTCAATGAACTTATATTTGTCGTCATCAGGTGAACAAAACTTTAAAAAGAACATAAGGAAGACATGATGAAAGTGTACCACAGAGCTCGCAAAAAAGGTACTATACTCGAATAGAACTACAACCTGTTATGAGCTCAAACAATGCTATTCAGATGCTGCAGCGATCAGAAATTCGTGTTTATATGGGAATCTCTCCTTACAACAACCTTGGAGCCATGCAACATTCCCACACTTGACCTGCCCAGTGTGTGGTTGTCCTTTATAAATGGTTATATAGTGATATATGTCTGCTATCACATCTTTAACATGGGTCGCTATCCAAGGATGCACTTCAAGATGTCAGAACATCTAGCATAATCAAACTTTGTAGCACGTTCATAGCAGTTTTTTAATTTTAATTTAAATAATGTATTCCACTTACATTAGAACATTGTATTCTATTTTTAAAGTTTAGTTACCTGATGACGACGAACATAAGTTTGTTGAAAGCATAGAGGAAATAAAAATCTGTTAATGCCACACTCGGTGTATCTTTACTTCCTCTTATCTGATATTTGGTGTGAAAATCAAACTATATTGTAGCTCTCTAGTTTGTATATTAAATACATTTATATATTGTATTCTGAACTTGTGATTTGTTAGAAAATGTTTATTCCTGCGTTGATAATCTCATAAATTTGAATGGATAATATTGAGATAGAATGACTATGAAGTGTAACCTACAGAATAGTTTCAATGAAGTTAAGGAATGTATTACATGAACAGAAACAGATGAAATTTGACATTTTGATCAGTGGACACTAATAAAGACAATAATATGCAAACACTTGAAGAAATTGAATGAAGAAAAAAAATCATTATAGCTAACAGATGAGTCAAAATATTTAATGAAATGCATGAAAAAGATCTTGACTTCCAAGATTTTAATAATTGGATAAAATTATTCCTTTGTTTATCAGGAACTTTTTAATTCCTCTTCCCTTAAACAAATGAATGTATTACATTACGATGCACTGTATAAATCATATATTTCTTAATATATGATTATACAATGATTGGCACATGG